CTCTCTCTCTCTCTCTCTCTCTCTCTCTCTCTCTCTCTCTCTCTCTCCGTAATTTATCTTAAGTGCCCATTTGTGTTATTCTTAATACATCATATTACATATTAATAATTCATGCATATATATGTAAGAAAAATAGTGTACTGAGGATTTATTTTCTTCTGCTTCATTTACAGTCAATATATATTATTATCTGCATATTTGCGTTAAATAGATGGATTGGTTATTAGCACAATCACAAGCTATGGACATGCTGCCACCAATGCAATAATCAGACTGCGGTGCTCCTTAAATAGTGTGCCACGGCGGGTGTGTGTGTGTGTGAGTGTGTGTGTATGTGTGTGTGTGTTGCACCATGCTGAGCTTTGTCTGTACATCGTAGGTAGAATCACCCGAGGCTCCCTTTGATGACGAGGCGTGGCCTCACCCAGAGGGAGACAGGCTAAACGAAGTCCCAGCTCCGCCTTTCTCCTCCCTCTATTCACACAGCCGCACCTACTACCAGGTAACCCCGCCCCCGAGCTCGTCGCATGCATTCGTGGCTTTGTTCGTTTGTGACATGATGTTGGTTTTAGCCACTTCCCGACTCGTCTGAAGTTCAGGTTACATTATCATGAAGTCATTTTTTACGTTTTATTTATTAATTTCTTATGTTTTGTGAGACAATTTTGCAAACATCTCTTCGTGGGATTTGTTGTTCCCTCAGTTGTTGTTGTTGTTGTTGTTGTTGTTGTTGTTGTTGTCACCTTGCTTCAACAACCTCATTTATAAGTGATCCATGTGGCATTTTAACATCAATAAATGGGTAAGACAGACAACCTCAATAGGAAAATCATCCGCTATGCAAATGGTGCTAAAGTGCCAGAAGTCTTAGTGGCAGATGGTGCAAGGGATGAAAACTGAAGGAGGGGGGGGGGCAGCCAGGAAGGAATGGGACAAGTTTTATATCCTCTTAAAGAAGCTTCATGATTTAATTTAGAGAAACGATACCATATATGTGAGACAAAGTATATCTGCAACATGTCCTTTGTTTGTGGTATTATAACCACATTTTATTCAGTCATATGCTTTTTATGCTCATTGTTCTGACATTTAAAAATAAATTCTACATGTTAGGGCTGGGCGATATGGAGAACATTACATCAGTTTACTGTACTGCAGACTTTTAACCAGGGAACAACATCACTTATGTCATATTATGGTTTTACTATATACAAATTCTAAGAAGATATCTCATCTCATTTCAGAATATCAATATAATATCGACATATTGCCCAACCCTACTACTTGTAGCATCTTTAAATGCTTTTTTCTTCTTCTCTAAATGTAAACACAGAGCATGCTACTGCTGCGAGTGTTGATATGATTGTCTGATGTGACAGCTTGTGTCTTTTTGTACGCTGCACATGGTCTGACATGGATGTGATTATTAAACAAGGAATAGACCTGCGAGTGATCTCCTCTTAATTTGATACTCAGAACTCAATACGATCAATAAGCGTTAGAAATGATTTATCGTGGGATCTAACTTAAAGCCTTTTACCCACCATCTCATTGACTGTGCCTAATTGTGCTAAGTCCTCTGACTGAGTGTGCATACAGGATTTTGGAAGTAAATACCTCTTCCATCTCCTCTGGTCATATTAGTTTAGATGTAGTCGCAGTTTGTAAACTGCAGGAGGCAGTAGAGGCAGAAGAATAACCACCATACTGTGTGGCACCTTCACAAATCAAGATATGACTGAACTACATTAATCAAACTGTTTAATAGCAAGCGCTATGCCTGAACGTTTGAATACGTCTGGTAAAGAGGCTCAGTAAATGAAATAGCAGGGTTTATTATTTACGGTATTGGCATATGCGGTACACAGTTTATGGTAGACTGAAGAAGAAATGCAGCCGACACTGCAGCAGTATAATTGACTTTACTTAAGTAACTCCACCTACAACATTTATATCTACCGCAGAGACCGAATGAGGAGAAACAGTAAAAAAAAAAAAGCAACTCGCTGTCTTTCTATAACACACGGACAGTAAGACACACATGGACCACTCAGAGACCTTAGTGGCTCTTACTGTGGTCATTAGGTAATGCAGATAATTAGGAAGGAAGGAACGACAGAGATGGTCAGGGAGCAGGCAAGAGATGGGATAAAGAGAGAATTACAGACACGGAGACAGAGGGCAGATTTGTTGCTGGATGTTAATCAACCTGTCCGTCAGCCACATCACTCCTCCTCAATGAATCTCGTTTTCCTCCTGCTGATACAGTAATATAAATTAGGAGTAAGTAAGACCTTTAGTCTGCATTTACTGTAATGTTGAACAGGTGTATCGTGACTGCCTCAGTATGGAGAACCACAAGGCCGAGTAAGCAATCAAACCAGCTACATGTGCATTCAACAATCTCCTATTCTTTGCTCTTCTCCTTGACTTGTGTCAAGGATTATTTGCCCATATTTAGGGATAGCTCTGGCTTGCACTGATGGACTTGAACCCATTGTATATTGATATTTAGAGCTATGAAAAGCAATCTTCCACATGTAATCACCCTTATAGTACAGAAAAGGTGGCCTTTATTTGGAGGAAAATTATTTGCAGATATTTAAACCTACAATAACTGATATTTTAGCAACTTGGGGTCAGCGGGAACTGACATATTACAATCTTCCAGATTGACATGGTGGACTTGTTATCAAGTAGTTGCCATTATAATTACCATTATAAATACCAGTATCTTTCATTTCGGGTCCTGTTTCAGTCCACTTGGTGGAAGTTAATTCAATATTCACTCTCCTTTTAGCTCCTAAACTCCTATGTTTACCAGTTAGTTGCTTACTTTATTTATCTGCAGTTTGGCTTTGAGCAGCAAGTTTACCTACTTGTGCAGCCCAAAAAAAAAGGTGCTATGAGAGAGGTGAAAGTGAACTAAAACAGTGAAGTTGCTGCTGGAAATTCTTTGTGTGTTTATCAGTGACCCCTGTCATGTTACACAAAGTAATTTGATCCGTTGTCATTATAAAGGTATTGTGCAAAGAATAACCTGTGCTGCATAGCTAAGAAAAACACCCAGCCCATCCCCAAACACGATCTGAGATGCTAAATATCTGATCTGACCTGTTGGGATTGAGCTGGTGCTTTGCTCGCTCTGCAGTGCTTTATGTCTGTTCCTCTATATCTCCAGTATTTACCAGGGGAGCTTGACATAGCTTTTCAAAATGGTCCTTACCAGAATCTGAAAGGGATCTAATGGAAGGGCTGGGGGGGAGCCAAAATGGTTAGGAACCACTGGAATAGACCGCAGTATAGATCTGCATTTTACAGTGTTTCGAGCTGCACCAGCATCCCTTTATTGTTGTTGACAACACAAAGTTGATGTTTATATGAATTTTTTGAGAGCCATGTTAAAGTTAAAGGTGAGCTAACACAATGTGATATAATGGCACATAACGTTGGGTTTGGTTGGCCACTGAAAAAATGCTTCTTCCCCCAAATACCCAGATTTTACTACTTCAAAAATAACAGATGAAATAAATCTTATATGAGTACAGTCGCTGCTAAAATTAGTAGGGATGAAGCCTCAAGTCTGAATCAGGGCACAACATACATACCTGCATTGTTATTGGGCTACAGGGTCAGGCTGTCTGGTGCCTGCTGAACTGGAATCCAGAATAGGTTGTGGGTCAATCTGTGATGGGACCATGGCCAGGACAGGAGAAGCAGAAAGTCATTTGTTAAAAAGAGTGAACACAGCATTTGTATGCTAGGCTATATATCACAGTCATATATCTACCTGTAGAGGACGGAAGGGCAAAGTTGGCTCTCTCAGCAGTCAGACATTAAACATGCATGATGTGTGCTTTTATTTAATTGGTCCTGAAATATTAATAGAGCCGGTATTCACTGGCTGACATTTGACTGGAGACGGAGAGACCGAGAGAAGGAAAAAGTGAAAGAGAGCGAGAGAGAGGCAGGGTTGGTTGTGATATAGACAGTGTGTCACCGAATTGTCGCTGTGTCAGCTGACATGTCGGTTTATTGCATTTTTTGTTATGGCGGCTAACTGCAGACACACAGGCTGTAGGGAGTGACTGGCAGATGCTGATTATATGGTTCCAGTTGCTAGCTTCTTACTGTGTGTTTACACTGCGGGCAACATGATTGATGTCATGCTCTGTTCTTTCTGATTGTGGGTGAGAAGCTCAGGTTGCTTCAGTGCTGTGTTCTGCAACCATAAAGATACATAGATACATCACAATACATGCGATGGTTTAATCAGGAAGCATTTATCCCACATCTAATTATAATCAACAAAATGCTTTTTTTTATCCATGCCAGCAGCATTTTGGTCTAGATTATATCTTTTGAATATCAATTTTCCGATAGTTTGGTTTATGACCAAATACCTGCAAAACTAAGGCCATTTCCATCAGCCTCAGATGGAGCCTACTTTGTGTTACGTGCTAGTTAGCAAATGTTAGCCCACAGTAAGCAAAGATGTTCCATCAACATGTTAGCATTGGCATTGTAAGCATATTAGCATGTTGATGTTAGTATTTGACTTGTAGCACTTATACCTACGTACAGCTTTAAAGAGCCACTTAAGTGGCTTTAGTGACTCATTCTTGTTTCATTTTGCATTTATGATTTCATTTTTTGATGTTTCAAAGAAATTGATAGTAAGATGTGTTGTTGAATGGCTTGAATCATAAACATAGCCAACACTTAGCCACTTTGTTGGCGGGGTTTAGGTCAGCTGGATAAAATGTATTTTAGTGAACGTCTTAAAATCACAACTGGCTATCCAAGGTTAATGGAAACTAACTGTCAGTCACAATCTATGTTTTTCAGCTAGCATGTTTGTTGGTTTCCCCAACATTAGCAAAGCTTTCAGGTTAAAATAGGACTGTTAATATCTGTAGTCTTGTAGCAGCTTGGCCGGTCTGTAGTGGCGTAGTATTAGGCCATGTCCACACTACTCCGTTTTCGTTTTGAAACAGAGTTTTAAAACGAAAACGGTCTCCGTCCACACGGCGTCTCAGCATCGTTTTCGAGATGATCTCCGTCCACACTAAAACGCCTGAAAACGAATATCACTATTCACGTACACTGGGCGTGATGGTGGGTGTCGATGTAAACAGGAAGTAGATTGGTTGCTTCATTAAAATAAATACGACAGAGTAATATAGTAGTCTTAAATAATGAAAGGTCATGTTTGATACTTAAGATCTTCTCTAAAATCTTCCTCTATAAACTCAGATTCAGACTTAACGTTAGTTACAGCGCTGCAAGTCAGCTCTATCTCTCTCTCTCACACACATCAAATTTATTTTAATATTATCATTTACACATAATGGTTTACTAGATTATGGGTCCATAAATGTGGTCAACACACGTCTCTCACTCGCTCCCTCTCGGTTTCGTTGTTGTCTGTTCTCACTCGTAGCTCTGCTGGTGGCTTAACTATCTGTCCTACTGGAGAGCATTTACTGTTTTTTGTTTTGT